TGTCAGCTTTGTGAAATTTCACTGGCATTTGTACTTCAACATGAAGCGTGATCTTCAAGTTAAGGACATACCATGTACTGATCTCAGGGCTAAGTTTCTGCAGCCGAGTTCCTCCCCAGACATCATTGCTCACAACGCTTTGAAAGCTACTAATGTTCTTACTACAACGGTTTGAACCTTTGTTACTTATGCCTGGTGTCCCATGAGCTTTCGCTGCAAACTCCTTTATATTATACTTGCTTATGTAAAAGAGTCGATTCCCGATTGATACCTTTTTGTCATATCAGAAATTCACCGAATAGACGCGATGTCCGTGGCCCGTTTGCTATGACATCGTGTGACTTTAGCATATAAAAACAGAGCCCGTTTTCTTTAGGCAGGGTTAATTTCCATCGGTCCATTTTGAAGACGGAGGAACTACGGATGAGTGGGGTTTTTAATGTGTTCCTATACCGCTGCATGGACTTATGGGAGAAGGCATTTGCTTTCTCCTGCGCGCCTGCAGTCCGTGGGGAAAGTTTCTAACAAAGTTCTTTGTTAGTGTTTGTAAGACTGGATATAAGGTTTAATTGAGGGATTTGTGCTGAATGTTCTTTCGCTTTGAGTCTTAGTGCTGCAATGCTGGACGTTTTCCTTTCAACTGCTGCCGGATCAGTGAAGGCAGTGAGAGCAGGGTCTGATGGGGGTCCGGGAGCTTTCATTACTACTGACGCTGTTGTCATGAGAGGATTTAGAGCATTGAGGAACCTGTATTTGTGGGGGGGAAAAAAGTCTAATATTACACAAGCTGAGAATTACTTACAGAATTAGCCTTAGCTTTATTGCTAAACCTCAGAACAAAAATGTACTGAAGGAGGAGTTCATTTTTCTTTTTTCTAACGGCAACTTTGATTTATTCCCCAAACTTACTTTTTCTGGCAAATGCAAACTTTACTTAGTATGGGATTCAATTCTGCTTTGCCTTTGACATTCCTTCCTAAACCCTGGATGCAGCTTGATATTCAGAGCCCTGCATTGCATGGGGCTAGTGAGAAGAGTAAGACATGGTAAGAATATGGTAGCATGCTAAATCCCTCTCAAACAAGCCTCGTAACACTGTAGACCAGCACGCTCTATGGAAACAGCAATAAAACACCTCAATAAAAGGAACAGTTTACAGGCCTTTGTGCAACAGATTTGTTGTGACAAGTTATTTCATGCGAAAAGCAGCATAAATCAGCGTGGCAGAAAGTACTGCTTGTTAATCCGAGGCTGTGGCACAGGCTGTAATTTTAGAAGAGAGGGTCGGCTGTCTGCGTGTCGAGCCGGCATACCGGCAGGTCTTGGTGGCTACATTTCAGGCCCGGGGGCAGGCAAAAGCTAGGAGCAAATCCTCAGCTGGTGTAACGTGTCGGAGTGCAACATGCACTCAGATGAATATCTCCCCCCCCCCAAGTCTTCAAGGCGGGGAAAACAGCCAACCTTAACCTTGGGCTTACTGTGGCCTATGGCATCATGCCCACTGCAGTGGGGCAGGGCTGGTGTATGGCCTGCAATAACAGTAACCTTAATTGTATGACTGTGGCCCTGACATTTAAAAGGCAGCAACCTCTTCCTTTGGTCCCATGTTCTCATCTACTGGGTGGGAATGTCTAGCATCTTCCACTATTTCAGGGGTGGGCAATTATTTTGGGAGGATGGCTGCTTGTTGGGTTTTGACAAGCCATTGAGGGCTGCATGACAGGCAGCCAGGGGCAGATAAATATTAATTGTCTCAATTTTTTAGGGGCTCTGCAGGCTGGATAGAATGACCTGGCGGGCTGCATCTGACCCGCCAGCCGCATTTTTCCCACCCCTGCTGTATTTGGTAGAGCTACTGTGAGCTAATATCTGTGTCTGCTCTCGAAGATATTAAGATGTGCAAGTATGCACCAGTGAATATAAGATCAGAAGGAAATCTGTGCCTATTCCACATTAGAAGTCAGTCATGAAGACTATGATCCCAGAATCAACAGGCCCAGGATTTCACCCCATTGTGCTGTAAACAGACTTCAGTTTGGGGTACTGGTCAATGTAGGACCAAATACAGCTTGTCTTGTCCCTATAGTAAGTTCCTTCTGTTAAGTTAAATACTGAAACTCACTTCATCACGGCACAGATCAACTATTTCCTCCTATAAAAAGATGACTTTTTCAACCAGTTTTATATTTAAAAGAAATAAATGTTATTAAGGGGCAATTGAGAGACTCCATACCTTCCAAAATGTGGATTTAAAATCGGATTCCTGAAGAGAGAGGTCCAGGTGAGACTGCTGAGTCCAAAAGGCCCTAAGGATGCCGGGCTGAAAGCTGGTGATACAGAGGGTACAGCAAGAGTTGACAGCGGGAGTGATCTCCATGTGTGGTCCAGAAGAGGAGAATGGCTTAAAGGAACATCCAAGAAGAGACCCAAGGGATGTGCCAAGGAGACACTGGGAACATTCCCTAAAATTTCTGTTTTTTCACGTTTCCTCCATTTTGCCCTTCTGTTCTGAAACCAGACCTTGGAGAGAGAGATTACAGGATTAGCTACGTTCTTGTTGGTGTTGCTTCTGTCAATCAGAGTAGGCAACGTGCACACAGAAAAGGAGTTATTGTTTAAGGACAGTTACTTCATATTAAACATTCAGTTTACAAAGGAGTAATGCATACAAGCATGTTAGACTGGAACAAAGAGTGGTGTCAGGAATGGTGTTATGGAAGTCCTAACAAGCAACCCATTGACCAGTTTGAATTTTTAGAGTCTAATAGCTGCTAACTGAATTGCTACTTCATGCAACTCTTTACCAAAACTGAAGAAGCAAAATGCAACAAAAAATTCAACAGTGGCTGCCTCACTTCGTGAATTTTAAGAAGTAACTTAATCATGAATGTGACAATGGGTTAGCACAGACGGAGTATGGTTTAAAGGTTTAGAAAGTTTGACTATCTATATAGAGAAGGATTTTAAAAGAAAAGTTTTGAGAATTTTTTTGCCTTGCTTATCTGTCATATATAATCATGTAAAATTGATTAATTTACCTGTTGTGCCAGAAAAATTCAGATTGTTTGAACCTTCAATAACCAAGAATGAACAGAACATGGAGACATGCAGTTCTCAGAAAGGGACTTTGGGTAGGAAATCATAGAAAATGAATGTTGGCAGGGGACCTCAGGAGGTCACATCTAGTCCAACCCCCTGCTCAAAGCAGGACCCATCCCCAAGTAGATCATCCCAGCCAAAGCTTTGTCTACCCCAGTCTTAAAAACCTTCAAAGGATGGAGATTCCACAACCTGTCTAGGTAACCTGTTCCCGTGCTTTACTACTCTCCTAGTGAGAGAATTTTTCCTAATATCCAACCTCAACTTCCCTTGCTGCAACTTGAGCCCATTGCTCCTTGTTCTGTCATCTGTCACCGCTGAGAACAGTCCAGCTCCATCCTCTTTTGAACCCCCCTGCAGGTTGTTGAAGGCTGCTATTAAATCCCCCCTCAGTCTTCTCTTCTGCAGACTAAATAAGCCCAGTTCCCTCGGCCTCTCTTCAGAAGTCGTGTCCCCCAGGCCTCTCGCTATTTTTGTTGCCCTCTGCTAGACTTCCTCCAGTTTGTCCACATCCTTTCTGCAGTGGGGGGTCCAAACCTGGACACAGTACTCCAGATATGGCCTCACCAGCGCCAAATAGAGGGGAAGAAATCGCTTTTCCCCATGTGCTGTTAGCCTTCTTCACAAGGGCACGCTGTTAGCTCATTCCACCGATTGTCCACTGCGAACCCCAGGTCCTTTTCTGCAGAGCTCCTGCTTAGCCAGTCAGTCCCCAGCCTGTCCTGGCACATGGGACTGTGTAGTTAATACTGTGTCATACTTTTGCTGTTATAAAAAATAGTTTACTATTTGTCACGATCCTGTGTTATCCACTATTTTAACCTGCCAAGTATATTTTAACATTCTTAGTAAAATTAAGCAACGGGTAAGTCAACCTATGCTGTAGACTGATGCCACACTTCATTTTGTTGTAATTCTGGCAGTTTTGAAGTACTCTCTCCTGGGTCCCAGGAAGGAAGTACACAACAGAATTCCCTGCATATGCATTGTAAAGTAGGTTTTTAAGCCCAAATGTCACGTATGAAGGCTTTCAACCTTAAACTGATAATCCGACTTTACTCAAATGTTTAAGTGTTGTTGCTCAGGCCTTTGGGCAGAGATGTTCAAACTCAAACTAGACTTGCATTTAGATGAAGGGTTTTCATTCAGGTCCATCATCTCATTCCTTAGGTCTTTAATTTAGCTGCTACTGAGATTCAAAGTGGTCATTTCTGCGAATGACTCATGAGTATAGTGTGAATATCCTAATTGGGAGTCGATGCTGAGAATGTTTGACTATATAGAGAAGGATTTTAACTCTTTGAAAATTGAATTTGTCCCATGCAAAATTATGAGAGTCTGAAATTCCCTCTATCCAAATGAGGATATTAAAAAACACAACAAAACCCCAAAACCCAAAGCAACCATCTGGAAGCTTATTGTGGGATGGTCAGTTCTGAAGTATTTAATCTCCATAAGGTTATTTTGATATTGCTGAAAACTTTTGTTTCAACATTAAAATTACATATAAAATTGAAAAACACACACAAGTTTCGAGTTAGTCAAAATCAAAACATGCAGAATGAAAGACACGTTGAAAGACGAATCCAAATGAAATGCCCCGTTTTAATTTGAATCCTTTTGAAATGTGTTGAGTTTCAGTAAAAATAAGCCTACATTCCTACAAACTTTTGATTTGGAAGAAACATGTTTTTTCAACAGAAAATTGTTCTGCTAATTTTTTCAGCCTGCTCTGTTTAATAGTTACTCCTTCCACCTATGGCAACATGAAACTACTGCAAGTAAGTGAATCAAAACATTCCTGTGCGTAGAGAGTAATTGTTTTTTAAAAATACGTGAGTCCTATTACAAGACGCTTGTCGTTATCTGTATTAGTTCTGCTAGCATTAAAGCAATTATACTCTTGCAATTGGAGAAGAGCTGACTGGGAGTCAGGACTACTAGATTCCTCTCTCTGCCGCTGGCTCACTCTGATCTCAGCTGTAGTAATCTTGACTTTGTAAGAGTATTTTGATGCCTAATTAAATATTTAAAAAAAAGTGCAGAGAACTTCTCATTTGTACAGGACTTTTTTCTTCAGAAGCTCACACTGATTTCAGTGGCAAATGATATAGCAGCCCTACTCACGTGGACCTGATCCTGTTCTCACCGCTGTCGGTAGCAACTCTCAGAGCTCAGTGGGAACAGACCTGGGCTAAGTTTAATCGAACAACAACCTGTAAGTTTTTATATAAGCATAAAACAGGTCCCTGCACAATACAGGTTCCAAATGCTTGTCCGTGGAGACCTAAAATAGCAATTAGTGACTTGAGCGCGTTGTAAGTCTAGTTAGGAATATTTTGTGGAAGACTAGTGAAGACACAAAGTGATTCGGTTGTAACTGTAACAACTAGCCTGGGTTGTTACTGTGGACTGTGTTTAGGTTACCGTTCAGGTCGGTCTGTAATGAGTCTGGCATCTGGAATGAAGGAGGAGGTAATGACAGAACCTGGCACAATAGTACTGAGCAAATAATCTTGGTAACACAAAGCCAAATACCAGAGACTGCTAAAGGTCAAACTTCTCGTGGGGGAAAATCTCAACTAGGGAAATGCTGAAGAAGTCTTAAGAACACAGATAAAAGAGGGGAACAGGAAAAACAGGCACATTTTAGTCTTAATTCATCTTCAGTCACCTGCTAACCTGCAGATAAATGGCTAGTTTACAAGGATTATTGGTTAGTAAAGATTATCAATACTGTGCCAACAAGCATGGTAAACGGCAGCCCAAATGAGTATCTTATTGCAGCTCAAAGGACTACAAAGGCAAAGAAAAGAAAACTGTGATGAGACCTGAGCCATCAGCGGAAGAACATTTCACGCTGTTATTGCTTTTACCCTATCCATCAATTGTACCCCTTTCCTAGCGCTATGCGTGCACACACACACTTGCATAATGTATATATAGACTATATTAATAGGCTATTATTAATCTAAGCAATTTTCTTTCATTCCCACATAAACATAATATGGAGTAAAAAAGTTTTTTTTTTTTTACTTTAATGCCAAAATAATTCCGTTAAGCCATACAATTTCTTGCGGTGATATGTATTGGGACTGTAATATCACTGCATTTCTGACTGGTCCAAGTGATTTCAATTGATTCTTAGTCTTATACTGTATTTAACAAGCTGGATTTAGATTCTCAGCACAGAAGAGCTTATTTAGGTTCAAGAGCTCAACTTTGAACACTTGATCTGGGCAAGACCCTCAATGACATGAAACACATCTTACTTTTAACTGATACTGTACACATTGATGGCTCTCCATGCTTTAGTCTGTATATTAATTTAAATATCAGCCTGTATATTAATTTAAATATCATTCAGACTATATTCAACCAAAGCATCACAATAAATTATTCCATTTTCTCCTGACTGTAGAGGTAAACTGCCTTTAAATAAAAGTTTAGATTCAAATTTTAAAAACAAGACATGTCTTTGAAGTTACCTATGCACACCAGCACAAACTCATGCTGCCATTTAGCTAAGCATGTCCTTCTCATTGGCTATATGCCTCCTAAATTGCACATTAGATACATCTGACAGTAAGGAAAGAGGACGAGTTGTAGACTCAGATCTTATCCTACAAACAGTATTCCTGTACTGGACATTTCACTTGAAAGTTTGGTTATTCTTCATTACCCAAATGCAAGTGTGCTGGGCATTTAATATCGACTCAAAACTTAAATTTATATAATTTTAAGAGGGGAACCCTGGCATCAGACCTCGGAAGACTTTAAATGCCTTAAAAAAATCCATGTAAACAAGAATACTTTCAGACTGAAATGAAACAAAGATCAAAACTGAGGGAGTTTTTTTTAAAGTTATCCACTGAAAATGAGAAACTTGCAAGTAGAAAAGCTGTATATATGACTAGCCATAATGCATCATCTTTCATGGATTTCAGCATCATTAGCAAACAATATTACAAGGATGCTTAGGCCAATTCACTGTAATGCTTATTACATTAGAAATGAGTATTTTGATTTCTCTGCTATAGCTGGGGAAGTTATAAACTTTATAAAGTAATGCTTTATAAGATTCAGGGTGCTGAAGGGGCCAGGTCATGTTCCTAACTTTTCCCATGTTAAGATAAATGGTTTTAATGACTGCTTCTATCTTTCTCCCCAGACTAGTGATCTCCATTAAAAGAAGCACAAACCTGTCAACAGAGTACTGACTCAGACTGAAAGCCCACAAATACTAAGATTTCCAAATTGTCAAGGCATGGAACAACACAGAGTCCACTGCATATGCTTTCAAGACAAGACTCCAGGATGCATCTTCCTATGAATCTATATGGTGAGTAGTTAGTATTAGTTTTTCCTTTTTCCTTTCTTGCTGGGTTAGTTCACGTAAGGCTCTACAACAACAAAATCAAGTGGAACAAACAAATCCTAGTGTCCAAGACCCGTTTTGTGTGTGCTTGCAGGTACTTCTGGAAGATTTATGGGCTGGGGAGTGCTTTCCAGAGAAGCAAATCTCTGGTGCTAAATGGACAGGTGTGTTGTATTAGTGTGCTACACAAGGGATAATTTTGCATTAGATTAGCTTTGTAGAATGACTTTGGGGCAGGTCAAGAGGATACCATTGATGTTCATTTTTACGACAGTCCAGCTAGCGACCCCAATAGCTGAGTGACTCACTACCTGTGCTGCATCTAGCCTCACGCAACACCTGTATATAGTAGAAAAGTGCAATTATTTCTCTGTTGCACTTGGGGAAAATGAGGTAAGCAAGAGAGACTAACTTGCCCAAGGTCACAAGAGAAGTCTAGACGAGGGCTGAACCTGGGACTCAGGTTCGTGCTCAAACTACTGGAGCATCCTCCCTGTCCATGGACATGGCTAGGATTCCTACGTGGCTGTACCACTGAGTACAACCAATATGTTGTGAAAGAATCACGAGAACTGGAGTGCCATGACCTGCCATATGTCCATACTCCCATTTTCTCCTGGTGCCACCAGGAAGATGGATGCATCCTACAGGTGCCCTCAAGCACTGGATGGTGGGAACGGATGGATTAATAGTTTTGCCTCCATGTGAGGGAGCAAGGTATAGCCACGGCATACTGAGCTATTTTAGTTATTAGTAACCTTTGATATAATGCGCATGGTGAGTCCAGCAGAGTACTTGCTTTCCTTCAAGTCCATCAAGGACCTTAACTGAGGAGCTGATTTCAAGCGTGACAAATATTATTCGCACAAATTCAATGACCGAGTATTGTAAGGGAGGTTTATGTTTTCGGAGAACTTTTCCTGAAGGTGGGAAGTTCTCTGTCCCAAACCCAGCATTACAGACAGGTAAAGAAATTAATGGGGCCAGATTGCCAGGTGGGATAAACACTCAGTGATGCACTGAATCGCATAAGCTGAAAGGCTGGCCCAAGATACAGTCAGTAGTAGGAGAATCAAACAACCCTGCGAGTAAGGGGACAAACTGTGTGCATACAGATGAACAAGAATAGATGGTGGGAGCCAGATCAGACTGGTAGTTCTGTACTGACAATCTGTAGTCCTCAAGACATACTGAAGAGAAGTGATGCTATGAATTTGCTGATGGACCTTTACAGACCAGTGATAAATACCTGACTGTAAAGCATTATGCTTAGCTTTCCTGTCTTAACTTTAATAATGGTTACCTTGAGGATAGGTCTCTTTTCTTTACACCAAATATTGAAAAGGCAGATTTTACAGGATTGAAGTTGCAACAGATGTTGACAACAGCCAGAAAATTTCCAACTGAACTTAATTCTTTTATAGGATACTACCCTCATTTCTGTTTCTAAAAAAAAAAAAAAAAATTAAGCAGTGGAAGAAGTTATAGGGACAACATATCAAATCTTTACTTTGAATCTACAGACTTTTTGTTGGTTTGTTTTCAGTACATTGACTTAAACACGGAATAGTTTAAACAGAATATGTACAACTCTTTCAATCCTCTTCTATGTTTGGAAAGCTACAGGCATATGGATCTTGAAATCATCCTGGCAAAGAACAGCGTATTTTAAAATGTTTGCCGAGATGTACAAATATGACCATCTATTACGACGTTTCATTTTGAAAGCTCTGCTTTTGGAAAGGGAGGGAGCATACCAACAAAAGACCTCCACCAGTGTGAACTGGAAAACAAAATAAAGCCAGCAGGACTATGAAAAGCAATTAAAAAAAAAAACAACCCAGGTAAGATAAAGCTCAGAATATTTGTTTCAAAATATACTGTGCACAATCAGAGCTGCCCGGGAGTCCTTGGGATCTGCTACTCACCTGAACTCTTGCTTCTGTTAAATCCAGACGCATGGCAAGCTCCTCTCTGCAGAAGGAAGAGCCAGAGGTGATTTAGTGCCTGGATTTCTCCTGGCACCTCGGCAACCTCCCTGTCCCCACATGTAAGTGTTAGTAAACAGACAGTGCCTGATGAAATAAGCCTGCTGCTTATGAAGCCTTCTGCCCTGCGTCGCTGGCTTAGTTAGCCCAGAGCTTCCAAACTTTTCTGTACCGTGTGCCCCCTTCCAGGCTCACCACCTGCCTGCCTGCCCCTACCAGCTCAGAGCTGGTATTTTAACCCCTTCATTATTATTATGAATTACAATAATAATAATGAAAATTATATCCGTCATTATACTTCTCCCACATACCTCCCAGTGATGTCTTGTGCCCCCCCAGGACTATGCATACTATTTTGGGAACCCCCGAGTTAGCCTATTTCGTGCAAAGTCACCCTAACTGCCTGTAAAGAGCCAGCCTCTGATCCCTGCCGCTTGCTTGGGGACGCGCCGACCCCCAGGCTCGCGCTCTGGCTCTGTCCGAAGCTGGTGAGGTCTTTCAAGCCTCTGCTTTCCAAACCCCAGTGCTGGATGCGCTGGAAATGCCTCGGCCGCCTTGCCCTTGTCACGGGCTCAGACACAGGCGAGGGGAAGCCAGGCGGGTTTGGCCCTGGGATAGCCCCTAGCCAGACGGGGGCAAAACCAGGCGCCCCCCAGCTGGGCTCCAGTCCCTGGGAGCTGGGCTGCCCTCGGGGTGTGTGCCCCAGCCCAGAGCAAGTCCCCGCCAGCTAAGATCAACCCCCTGCAGCCGGGACCAGGTCCCTTTGAGCCGGGCGTCCCTCGGGTCCCGTGCCCCAGCGCAGCGCAGCGCAGCGCAGCGCGGGGGCCGCGGGCTGGGACCAGCCCCTGCGCGGCGGCGGCG